TTTTTCATGAAAATCGGCCCGATTATGATCGGTGACCGATCGATCGGCACACCTCTACTGGAGAACATTACACAAAAGTCTGGCATGTAGAGTGAACTAATCTCTGTGTATGGACACGCCCCCTTCTCAATGCTGAAGCCATGTCTGTTGCTAAATATCATTTTATCAATCAGATCAGAGCAGTTTTTATCTGTATGCTGCCAAGTTACATTAATGTGAAAAAGTGTTTAAGTGTTTTTAGGAATCTGGGAGATGTAAGCAGTGGCGTCTGCTATATCCAGCATAGATTTGTCATTGTCGTATGTGGCATTTAAACTTCATAAAATTGGTGAGGAGGAAGTGTCTTCTTACCGCAGAGGCACTGGCAGAAAGTACATAGTTGCGAGGCCTGGTCTCCTGGAAATCTGGGGCCACCTACACAAATCAGAATTATTATTTCATCATTTGTACTGCTGTGTATTCACTCTGCACATTGCCTTGCAAAGGTATTAACGTTACAACAACAAACTATGCTATAGTGTATTGCTCTTTTATGTGAGAAACACACAAAGTAATGTCTGACTGTGAAACAGCAGGAAACCATTGCTGAATTGTAAATGTATTTTAAAGTGTTAGTCAAACATATGTAATAAGAAGCACCTTTGACTTAGTTTGTCTGTTTTAACTTGCACATGTTCAGTTGTTCTGATGGAAGGTGAACTGCCACCACAGTATTCAGTGTCTTAAATCCTCCAACAGCTTTTTTCCCCAGTTCTGCCCTTTGTTTTCCATTTTCCTGCAAACTCTGACCAGACTCCCGGTAACTACTGAAACAAAGATGTGCATGGACCAACATGTTCTACTGTACCGTGTTCAGTTTTGGTCTAATCTAACCAGACCTCATTCTTCCAGACTGAAATGGAACAGCTGCATTCATACTATGCTTTAGGGTGTTTCCACACATAAAAACACTGGTGGACTCTGTTTGATTGTGGACCAAAATTGCAACAAGTGCTTCAGTTTCAGATATTCATTTTGCTTTCACACTGCACCGTGTCAAACCAACCAAACCCTTTGAGCAATCTCTTCACCTCCTCACCAACAACCACTGAACGAAGCAACATGAAAACTTCCTTCTTCACAAAATGCAAATAAAAATTGAGAGGCATCAGATTTTAACCATTGGAGGATTTCTCTTTGGCAAACGACTACAAGCCATTTCTCCTGCCGACGGTAGGCCCTCCATTTGTTTTGGTTGCATTTACCCACAATGCCCCATACTATGGTCCGCTTCGTGCTTTTGGAGTGTTCTCCGGTCCACTTGGTGTTCACATATGCATTTGAACCACGCCAGAGTTCACTTCAACCAAACAGAGCCTGAGGTTTGTAGGATGACCAGAGTTTGCTTTTTTGCTCTGCACCAGAGTTCAATAATGCATTCAAAAAAGAAAACCAAGAATGATTTTCCACCCACCTTACAATTCTGCTCTACAGTGAGTTGTTCACTCACATAAAACCCTTACAAGATACAGTGAAGTTTGTAGTTGTTGCATAACTGAATGTGAGACTTCTGCAAGATACTGCATACAGAAACCATCTTTAAAGTCTAGATTTATGTTTACATTTCATCTGAAGGTGTATATAAAGCTCCTGGAATGCAGGCCTATTTTAAAGTGACATCAGCTTACAGGAATTACACAGATTAACTGTAAGGGAGAAAAGAGAAGAGGGGAATTTACAACAGCCAGCATACTTTCATATTAGGTGTGTCTGAAGTTATAAAAGAAAGGTGTAGAGAGGTGATGCAATCACTGTATACAAACAACAGCTGCCACATTACTGAAACCAGTGAGTCAGTCTCTCACTGACCTTACTACTCCAGTCTGAAGCTGCAGGCTGTGCTTTCATCATGCACATGCAAGCATTCCAGACAAGTAATGGTTTCATCATCACATGAAAAAAAATATATTTCTCCGAATAAAGAAACTAAAAAAAAAAAATAAAAAAATTAACAATTATGAATTACAAAAATAAATTAATTACAAACAAAAAAGTAAAAGAACAAAAAAGGGAAAACTGGCTGTAATTGTGGCCAAAATACACAATCAGTAAGTGGATGGCCAGTCAGCTGCTTAATTCTGTACAAGTACAGGACAAGGATTGAGTTACAAATAACTCAGTGATGCATAAAGAAGCATGGGTGCAGAAGTGGTGATGATACAGGAACAAGTCACAGTTTCCTGTTTTAAGCTCACTTTCCAGAAAAGTGCAGTGATGGTCATGCTCTGCATCTGTTTTCTGCTATTCTTAATTTGATCTCTTGCCAGCATTGTTCTTCCAGTCATGTAAGAACATGGAGAATGTGCAGCTGATTCATTCAGATTGAAAGGCATTTTGTTAGAGCCAAGAAAAACATCCATCCAAAGATCAAGACAAAACAACAAATAACTGACACTTTTGTACTCCCTGCTCAGACTTTGTTGAAGGCATTTTAGATGTGCTTTTTAAAAACAGGAAGTTATTTGATAATCTACCTTGTGTGGTTAATCTGTAAAACATCAACAAAAAAGGCATTTCAAATAAGTGTGTTTATGTGCTTAGCTATCATATTTGTAATATTTTCACATCAAATAAAAACAACAGAAGGAAAACAAAGAGCAATGATTCTATATTTTCTACAAGACTTGTCCTGCATCTCTAACCTGTGACCTAGTTAGACTTCAGGCATCTGCTCTGGTGAGAGCTGATGTTTGACAAGTCCAATTCTCTTTCTTTAAATGTCTGGTAACATAAAAAGGTTTGTATGGCTCTACTGCCATCTAGTGACAGAACCTTTTTATGACAATAAATAAGAGTTTTCACAGCAAGAACATTATTTATTTATTTTTTAAGAAAATTTATACATTTGTTTTAGTAAAATGCATTTGAACAGAATCTAAAGTAGGGCTGTTTGATTATGGAAAAAAAAATTATAATCATGATCATATGTGTAAATACTAGAGGTATTTTGCATTTTTTATGCAGGTGCAAATTTTTTAACAGTTCATTCATTTGAAGATTTAATTTGAAATCTCCAAGCTCCTGCCATTTTGCAACCAATTTACCTAGATAACTTGCACCGTCAGAACAGTTTCACTGAGGCATTGCACCAAAGCAATGCTTTATGTCACTAACTCCTAATCTAAAAAAGAAATTCTAATAAACAAAGATGACAGCAAACAAAAGAAGGCACGCAGGTAAAAGCAAAAAAAGAATAAGCATGATTCATCCAAACACCGTCAGTCATTAAGACTAACGTCCTAGAGTCAATAGAGACAACAAAAGACTCTCGAGGTGGTGGATATTTTTTCAGTCCACTGCCTTGACTTTTTAAATATTTTTGTTTTTTGTCTTTCGCCAATAGAAGTAGCACTGCAGATTAAAGCTAGTAAGACTGAGAAAATAACTCAAGGTGTGCACCATATAAAGCAGTTTTTAATACTTACTGCACCCTCGCACTGCAAAGATGGTCAATATGCAGACAATTAGTAATGGTTGAAACCAACACACACCAATGCTTTTATTGGAATGATTAAAGGGAAAGCTGAGGGGGCGTGGGAGTGAGTCGGGTCTTACTGCTGCCTTGGCCTCGGCCGCCTTGGCCTTCTTTACACGTGCTTTACAGGCGTCCAGGTCCAGGCGAAGGTTCTCCAGCAGACGGCGCTCTCTCTGTTCAAAAACATAAAGAGTCTAAGCACCCAGCTACTGCAGCAAGACAGCACCCGTTCAAATTTCTTTTGTTTTTGCTTTTTTTTTTTTGTCACACTTTAATGTTCAAATGGTAAAACAAATATAAAACGTGTTTTTATAAATGATGATTTTATTTATTAAGGGAAAGTTACAGAACTGTTTTAATTAGGTCACTTGAAAGGTTTTCAAGAATAAACAGCCTGTTTAAAGTAATTCCACAGCAATTTATTGAATTTCAGCCCAGGCTTTGACTAGGCAAATCTGGATCGTTGCTTCATTCATTACCCAGGAGTGCAAAGATAAACAAGTTCATTTATATAAATAAAAAAAAAAAAGAAAATGTATTCATTAATTCCATTAATCTATTAATTAATTCCATTAATAACAAAAGATTAATTAAGTAGATTAATTGGTCAACCTAAAAAGCAATCAGTTATAATTGCAGTTAACTAATTTGTATTTGTGAACAAACGGAGCTCAATGTCAAAGATTAAATTCATACCATCAGATTGTTGCTGTTGTAACAACACAATTTTTCTTTAAATATTTACAAAGTAAACTTACGAGCTCCTTAAAATCGTACATTTAAATGTTAAACAATTAAAAATATTTTTAATTTATGCATGGAGAAACCATTAAATCAAATTTAGCAGCATTGATATGCTCAATAAATAAATGTTACATTTATGTATCTGTGGTCTGTGTTAAAAAAAATTAGCATTTAAGGGGCCCCTGAAGCCCTGCGGGGCTTCAGGGGAGCCGATGACTTAATTTGGATTAAACAGAAGTGCAAATAATTGATATTCATTTTACTTGTATTTTTTGATTTGTTGCTTTTAAGACTAGTTTTAGATTTAAATAGTGTTTCACTGGCAACATTTTCCCTTAACAAATAATTACCCAGTAATATTTTTACAGTTCTTGTCTACTTAACATATTTTAATTCAAAAGCAGGGTCTACTGCCGGTGGACCGCCTCGGCGCCCTGCATGAGGGAGTAATAACTCTGTCCTCACTGGAATGTATGAAGTGCTTTTTCTGAAGTGCTGTATTAGTTTTATATCAGAGGTAAAGGGACACACACTTCCTAAAGTCCTATATGAGTTGACTCTTTTTTCTCATGGTTGACTACTTTTCCTCTAATGAACATGTTATCAAAGTGGGTATCGAAATGTAAAATTGAGAAATCATCCAAACATTTAAAGTGTTCCACTTCTCAATGTTCCACACTCACTGAGATGGTTCGCCAGTCTCCTTCCAGGAAGTTCCTGAGTGGATTGAGAAAGCTGATGGCTGAGGTCTGAATGAACTCTCTCTCTGCTGCTCCCAGTCTCCTCTCACAGTCCCCAACCTTCAGCAAAGTGCTCCCTGCAACAAGACCAAAGAATTGTCACAAATTGTCACAAGCTTTTCTCAACAGGTATCTGTATTTCTACTGGCTGCATTATTTCATGTTGGTGCACTTTGTGGTTCATGGATTTGAGATATGGAGCAATTTTTCAACTGCAGAAAAAACATAAGTGAGAAAAATCAGAAAGAAACAGAGACTTCTCTGAGAGTTTAAATTATTAATATGTATTATTGTGCGCCAAACCAGTCTTGAATATTAATATTTATGTTAAATGTTTCGTTACATTAAATTCACCCCTGAGCAGGGGGGAATCCAGGAAGCTTTTAAAGAGGCCAGTGATGATCTTGGGGTGTTACACCAAAATAATGTTTAAAGTACAGATTAAATATCAGAATGTAAGCGATCAACACAGTACCCTCAAATAGATACAAATCTGAGTAAATTGTCCAACATGTTTCAAAAATGTCCTGCATGAGACACTTCCACACAAGACAGTTTGTCAGACAAAGCTCAAAAGTTTGCTGTATGCCTGTGAATGAGTTTTTACAACACTTTAACAAGCTAAGTCTAAACATGTGAAACAGTTGAACAGAGTACAAACCAAACCCAAAGACAGTTGTAAAAACTAACCACCATTAGGAGTCCCACGAAGAAACAAAAACATTTTAGAAATGTGGTACAAAGCTAATCTTGAAATTGCTGCATTCCTCTTTACAGTGATTAATTAATTTGGCTCTTAATGCTGAACTGGTTCACCACTCTTGGACTAGCGAACTCCTATGAAGATGCTAAATGTAGGAATGGAGTTGCTCCAGTAGGTGTCACCATTGTGCAAAAGATTATTTACTTAAAACAACAAAAACAACAATGACAGCACAACTTGACAGAACTCTATTCCTGCAGCAGATCCATAATGACCCCTAAAGAGCCCTTAAATAGAAACTGACATATTTAAGAAGATGGGGCAAGTGAAGGCCAAAAGTCATCATCAAAAATGTGCTGATGAGGCTTTTACTGGCCAATATTGATTTTCCTTTTTCCCTTTATTGGATTTTTACTGAGCTCTGAACAAAGTCTAAACAATGTGCTGTTTCCTAATAAACCCAGAGACTAAATATAAATTTACACATATCTTCATTTTTTTAGTTTTCATCAATTAATGAATGAAAAATCCTTTTTGAGAATTCTTATTCCCTCGACCTCCCCTCCCCTTTGACTTAGACTACCCATTGGTAAATTTTAATCAGTGGTTAATTAGTATGTGCATCACAATTAGACCAAACCCACATTCCATAAGAAAAAGTTGCCAGTTCATCTCTTCCAATGAGAAACAGCTTATCCTGATGTTGGCTTTAGGTTAGTGTTGTTTGACTAAAGTTTGAGGAAACAAGTAATGTTTGAACTGCAAAGGTTTATTCATTAAACGAATCGTAAAACCACATAAGACCTGGCTCTGACTGGTTGTTCTTGGTTGGGAGAGGTGCTTTTCCTCAGAAGCCAACAAGTCGCTCAGGCAGGATGTAGAGGACATCCATTGTTTCACAAATTACCAGTCTCCCAACATAATGTCATGAGATGGTGACTATTTTAACAAATACATAAAAACGATGTTTTTTATAGAAGTTACATACTGTAGCTTTAAGCACAGTAAAGCAGGATATACCAACAACTAAAACCATCGTGTTGGCATAGTTTGGTTTCTGGTCTTAAAGACGGGATATTTTTGAGTGAAAAGTGGAGGATTTATTTCCACTTTCTAAGAAATTAATAGAACCTAGAAAAACTGTGGCATCAGTCAGAGTTTGAGCTAATCTGAATTTTCAGTCCATCTTTTTAAAAGACAACGGGATGCTGAAGTACTAGGGTTGCACAACTCATGCATAAATCAGACTCACTTATTGAATTTTGGAGCAATAGCTTTCCCTAGTGACAGCTACATGACTACTGATGCTGCAGCAGAATGCAGAGAGCAGCTAACCTCATTTAAAGCTCTATTGATCCTCAGACTTACACAGACGGGAAAAACTATTTACAGCCTGTAGTGGAAAACAGTGCAAGCAACATGCAGAGAGGAAGGACATCCATTGAACAGGCAACAGAAAAAATTATTTTATACTGAAAAATATCCTAGAGCCAGTTTGAAGCAAGAGCTTCAGAAAGCCTCGATCTTCTGTCACCCTGGATGAGTGAAATATTCAATAACGCTAATGATAATATTTTGTTAGCATTGATATTTTATGTCAATGTTACGTTTCATTAATTTCAATTTAAATATTGCAACAAAAGAAGAGTTTTCTTCCACAGTACTCTGTGTGTTGAGAAGCTCCTTTGTTAACAATTTAACTGAAGCAGTGTGAATAAGACTGACACAGCACCTGTCATAAACATGGAGGAGTCATGAAGTGTCATTAAGTAAATAATTACATTCTTAATCCAAAGTTACAATAGAAATTGTTAAATGTGCATTAAAAACATAAACTTTGATTTACTTGGTAAATAATTACATTTTTCAAGTAAAGTTGCATTAAAAAGTCATTAAAAGTATCAACTTTGCATTAGAAGTGTGTTAATTTACCAAGTGACCTGACAACAGTCAAACATTATTAAGCCTCCTTCATGTTACTCTAATGCACAGCCCTTCAAATAAAGTGTTACCGCTCCTGTCTGTGGTTTTAACCACCTCCAGGAACATCCTTTTGTCTTCACTCAAGCTACAAAACTCCAGCATCATCCAACAGCTCAGGACTGACAAATTGTGTGGAGGATCTTTTAGTGACCTACTCATTTCCTATTCAGTCGGGTGTGTTAAAGCAGGGACACAGCTAAAAGCCAGAGGACCAGAGTTCAAGAAACCACTGGTAGCACGTTCCAATTTAACCATCAGAGCCTTCAGAGCTAATACACTCACCGTACGGTGTACCAGGCCCAAACTCCTTCGCAGCATCTTCCATATGCTGACCCAGCAGCTCTGCATTGGTAACCCTGGAGGGTGCTTTCATGTCTAGCTTTTCATAGAGAAACTCCTCAATTCTGGCACCTGCAGGGTAAATCCTGAGTTTAATTTATGAAGCAGACAGGTTATTCTTTACGATCATTTCTATTCATTACAAACTGAGATCCAAAGACTTCTGGCACAACTTCACCCACTTTCAAGGTGCATGGTGAGGCGAAAACTCCAGCAACACTTTAAACCAACTTTATTCTGAAATGAACTTGTTTCTGTGTGTGGCACATAATCTGTCAGAGTGGTTTTAGCAGAACAAATTTAGAGATAATTTACTATTACTAATGTATTAGTAACTTTGTTTGATACATTGTTTTTTTTTTTGTAATCAGTCAGTTAAATTAACAACAAACAAAATACATCAGTGATCACCTGTTCGGTTCCACATATTGTTCTCTCAGCAGGCATTAAACTATAAAATAATCACATATTGAAAAGGAAACTGCAGTTCTGATTTGTTATAACTGACTAAGACAGATTGGTACAGATACATGTAAAATCAAAAATATTGTCTGTTATAATGAGCTCAATGAAACCACCACAAATTAGAACTGCGTTAGGTTAAGCAAAATGAAGTGAGGAGCACATGGAAAGCCATAGTGAATGTGGACATGGAGGCAATGTTTCTTAGAAAGCTAAAATCCTGCCCTCTGTTTTAACCCTGAACACAGACACTGTTCTCTCTCTCAGGCCTCAGCCCAGGCTGGGAGTTGTTGTAGCTGGTTATTGCCACATCATCTGAGCAGAACCTTTTTTCTGGCTGAAATTTGTTCTTGTCACTTCAGGTAAAAGAATAAAATTCTCTGCACTGCACTGCTTTGTTCCACTGCTTTTACTAGTTGCAAAATCAATGTCATAATTTCTGCATTAGATAAGAATTAGTCAATATAGGGCTGGACGATGTGGATGATAAACGTATCATGATATTAATGTTTCATGTCATTTGATAATAAGAATTATTGATAATTTCTTTGTTTTAAATGTCTGATATACAGCCAAACTATTGATAACAATCTAGCTTGTGCAGCTGAAGTCTTTCCTCTGCCTACATCTCCCAGAATGCTGTGCAGTTCTGGAACAAAGTTCAGGGAAATTATTGAACAGTCTATTGTACGTATTGATCATATGTCTATCACAATCTGTATTACTATTAATTTATTGCCAAGCCCTAAGTAAATATGCTAAACACCCTAACCCTAACATTTTAAATTTAATAAGGATGTAGATTTTACCTAATTTAGTAAAATTCAAATGAAACAGAATCGATGGCATCTTGAAGAATACCCTAAAATCCAAATGTTAAGTTCGTCAACAAGGACCACCATTGGTTTTAGCTGTCAAGTGGTCAACAGAAAATGGTAAATCTTAAATATATGCATAATATATAATAGAAAAAGGGAAGCAGTGCTTTGCTACTAATTGAAAAATATCAAGGTAGAGGGAAGTCAATAATCCCAGCTTGACTTTGACAACCTTAAAATTTACTGCAGAATTTGATGCGTTTTGGTTAAGTTTAAAAAAAAAAAAAAAAAAGGCAACACCCGCACACCATCTCTGACAGATCATCAGTAGAGCACGGGTTTAAATTAGCTGATCTGCCACCGCTGTCTTCAGACAATCACTTATTAATAATCATAAGATAAACATGGAGCCTGAAAACATGATACAGTGACGGACTGAATGTTCTGCTCTTTGTGTAAGAAATGTTTAGTGTTCTTTGGTGTTGAATCCTGATATATTAGTGATGTTGTCAGTCAGTAATCGCAACTGTGTAGAATAGCTGACAGACAGCGATAAAAAAGAAGAATACAAGCGGTTTTGAGTCGTTCAACGGTTTTCCTATATTATCTTTCCCGTTGTTGTGGCGCACCGCACTAAATTAAAACCCCTTACATCTCCAGGTTTCATTTTGTCAAAAGAACTATTCTACAACAGAAGCACGGCTACAGATGGCATGTAAAAGAAGATTCTTTTTACCCTCCAACGTATTTGGATGTAAACAATAACATGCAACGTGTCTATATATTCTTAATTATTTAGCGCAGAAAACAGGTTGAAATTAGTCTATTAAATTGGTGTTCATGTTTGTTTGTGTAATATCTTTCTGTAGACAAATAAGTAGGACAATAAAACAGGTCCTTTATTAAACTGTCAGATTACCAACACCAAACAGACTCCACAAGGAAAACTGTTAGCAGATGCTGGTATTACCCAATGAAAAGAACTCAAAATAGTTCAAAGAGTTTGAAAGTCTCATTTCTTTCTATAAAACATTTCTTTCAAGTTTATGGCTTAGGAAAACTACACTACAAACATTTAACAGTAATCTTTTAATCTATTAATATTTATGAACATTATCTCTATCATTTAACATTTAAATTACCATCTAAAAATCTACTAAAGACTGATTTACATTATTCTGAAAATTGATCAAATTCAATTAAAAAATGCTTTATTGATCCCAAAGGGAAATTAAATGTAACTGGAATTATTCAAGATTCTTCAAAAAGTCGTTGCAGGTGGTGATGGCTGTGGACAGGAATAATCTCCTGTAGCAGTCTGTATTACAGCAGGTTTGAAGAAGCCCGGTGCTCAGTCAGCTCTAGCACTGAGATCGGTTTAGTGAAAAAGATCCTAAGGAAACATTTTGTCTGATTAACTGTGTGAAACAGCAGCCTTTGTTCGGAGATAACTCTTCAGTGGTCAACAGTCACTCTGATGTTCCTAATCGCAAAGTGAAAAATCTGTATTTGATCTCAACAACACAAAAATATGAGCATTTTTGTTCTTGTTGATTACTCCTTTATGCTAATGATGCAAAGCATGAAAGGTTTCCACAGCAGAGCACTACAGGGGGATTGGAAGGCAGAATACTCACCAGTATGATCAACTGTGGCATGAAGAGTCAAAAAAATGACAAGTTAGAGCTCTCTGTCCTTACATCTCATCCTACACAGCCTGATCAATATTATCAACTATAGCCAAGAGGGGAAAATAGTAAATTTTCTTTCAATTGTAAGTTTGTAATCAGTCAGATTCCAATATCGTGAAAATCTAACATCAAGTGTTAAAAAATCACTGCAAAGCATGAACATTTATTAAATAAAGATCAAGACAAAATAGAAAAATAGTATGGGAGAACAAAGTACACCTTAGGATTCAATGGCATGTAGCGCCACCGTCAGCAGCAGTCACTTTAGGCAGTTGTTTTCTGGATGACTATTGGTTTGTCATATTGTTGTGGATGAAAGCTGGTCCACTATCTTACAAGACATTGTTTGTAGAGGCTTACAGAATTCTCTTTAATGAACAATTTCCCTTCAATTTCCCGTCATGTGACTATAAAACGGTGTGTTTTTTATGGGAAGCAAAAACATTTTTTAACTACAAAAATCCTGAACATTTGCCAGTTTTTTAGAAACCTTAAAGAATTACCAATATTATATGTCAACAGATAAATGTTTTGGGTCCCACCCAGAGCATTTCAGTCAGGTTATGGGCTGGACTTACCCGGCTTTCATATCCACTATACTGCAGGTTGCTGTTGTGCTTGGGATCATTGACTTGTCGCACAATCCAATTTCAGCCCAGATTCAATAGTAAAACAGCTGTTCTTGCATTTAATGGAGTACTGTTCAGAGGCATTCACTGACAGCTAAATGATGGGAAGCTGCTCAGGTTCAGTGGCTGCCAGACACGTGCACATCATCATTCCTCCACCACCATGCTAGACAGCTGGCAAGAACTGCTTTTGCTGATTCACTGCCTTTGGTTTTTCAACAAACACAGCACAGTGCACAACTTTGGTCTCATGTGTTCTAAGAACATTGCTCAAAAGATTTTGCATTTTACTAAGCTGCAAACCTAACTCATGCTTCTGTATTAGCAACCTCTCCAAATATGTTATGTTGGTTTGGTCCTTTTCTATGTTCTGTCATCAACTCCAACATTTAGCATGCTTTCCACAAATTGGTTGGGAATGGCCTTATAACTCACCCCAGATTGAAGTGCAGCAACAGTTGCTTCATTAGGGTATCTGCTGATGCCTTTTCTTCATTGGCCCTTTTGCTGACATGAACCTGTATGGTTCAGACCACCAAACTGCCAAAACTCCTGCCTGATATAGGCAGACATACTTGCTAATTATCAGTTAATTAAGAGTTACTTTCCTTCTTAAAAACTTTGGCATTTAAGAAGAATACGACAGGAGTGTACTTTCTTTCCCACACACAGCTTCCCAACATTTCTGTTACTTTTAGTTTAATAAATTAGTTTAGACTGCAGTATGTTTTTGTACACTTGAGATTAGCTTGAGGTCATTTTGAACTTGATAAGCACCTGATGATTTTTATTATGGCACAAAACTGAAAAATATGGATACTGAGGTTACAACAGTCTGTAGCTTAAATCATTTTTACAAACTGACAATAACTTTCAGAAGAAACCAACCATTTCTGATTAACCAAAAAGGCAACAACCCCAAAACTGTCACTGTGCCACCCGATGTAATACTGCAGACATTCCTAGACATTACAGTGGTCCTGCTCGAAGACACTATGAGCTCAGGTAGTACTTCCTTCTGTAATGACACATTACCACATAGTAATCATACTTGGGTTGGGCTGCAGCAGGTACTCAGTCTGTCTGTAGATCTTCTCTGTCCAGTGTTTGGTGCAGTCAGCGCGGCTCATTAGGTTCTCAAAGTGAGCATCCAACTCTGTCCTTTCCGCTTGGCCCAGCTTCTCCTCAGTATACTGAAACAGCAAACAACCACAAACACCCTGTTACAAGTCAACCAATGTCATCTCCACATGCTAATAAATAACTTAGGCTCAAAGTTTCATTAATAATTACCATAATAACATCCCTAATTATCATGGTCTCAACCTGCTTGTGCTCATATTTATCATTTTTACCCTACTGTTGCTGCCAAATGAGTAAATGACAAAGTGAATAAAGACACTCTTCGTTAATTAGTAATGGTTTGGCTAAAATTACCGACCGTGACTTTGTATAGCTCTGCTTCGTCGGCCTACGACTGAATATAGCAAAGCTAAGACCTGAGTATTGAGAACATGTCCTGCTAGTTGTGATAAAGAGGTGTGTTTTGAAGATGAACTGCAGAGTCAGACGTCCTGAAACGTAACAGCTGGTAGGCAAAGTGAAAGGAAGAGCGAGTCAAGCCGCCGCAGCGTTTAAATACCTGGACGGCTCGCGTGAAAAACAGCCCCGCACCGCTGGCTAACTTCTTCACGTTGAAATCCATGGCGTTAGTAGGCGAAGCTGTAAGCTACTGGTTTTGCTTTAGAGGGAGCTTCTTACAGCAGTAGCTACAAAAATATGGCACTAGCCAAAAAATAAATCACGTGACCGTCTTACGCGTAGCTTCTCATTACGTCAAAAGGCGTTTTTTTTACTGGCTGGTTTACTAAATAATAATAATAATAATAATAATAAAATAACAATAATTGTGAGTTTGTGATGATTTTTCTCCTGCACTTGTAGCTGCTGTGCTCTTCCACCGAAACACTAAAAAAATAAAATCCTAAAAACAATGTCACAAGTTCTTTGTCTTTTTTTTAAATCTACTTCCTTTAGGGGTCGCTATCCAACTCCATACCCAGCATCCTTCCCTGTCACATACCCGTATTGATGTCTATGCACATCCCCCTTCACTACATACATCCATGAAACTTTTCCCTGGTTTTCTTCTTCCTCTATTATTCCTCTCCAGTTTGTTCACTTTTAAGTGAAAATCTTTGCATATTTACCTCCACCTCACTATGCTCTCTTCAACACAATGTCGCCTGTGAACACGATTTATCACTGGAACTCTTGCCTGATCTCGACTATGGCCCTTTTCATCTCTAGTTGTCGACCCTGTAGCTTGAACACCCACACCTCACCAACTTTGCTGTTTTTATGATCTGCAACTCTCCAAAAACTTATCTGTCTCTGAGTGTGAGTACCACTAACTGTATGTTAGTGGAACCCACACTAACTGTGTTAAGCAACTGTGACACTAGCAGTGTTAATGTATGTTCCTGAGTTGCCTGTCACTGGTTGTCCACAAATACACAGTGTGCAGACTTTCTAACCTGCTGACACTTCCCATTAACACTCCTGTTTGGTTCCTGAATGCAGCACTATGCACAGTGATGACGTAAGAACGCACAGAGTTTACTCTGCTTCGGTAGCGCGTGAGTTTTGTTTCCAGCTTTTTCGTACAGCTAACCATTGTTGAGGTAAGTTAGCAAGTATACTAATTTAAATGTCAACCTATGACCAAACTCCACCTTCCCCCAGAGTCTAGCCAGAAGGTAAACTCAGGCTGTTGTTACCACATTGTTTGTTAGCTTAGTTAGCTTAACGGGAGTTAGCTTGGGATAAAATATATTACTAAACTAAACAAGACTGTACTGTTGTTTTTTGTTGCTAATGTTTAGCTGCCACCAAACCAATCAACACGGTAGCGTTATGCAGACCAGGTGGCCATGGCTTGGAAGTCAAGGACCCGCAGTCTGCAGGTATTTGACACGGAGCTGAGCGCGGACACGGTGGAATGGTGTCCACTGTCCCCCAGCCACGACATCCTGGCATGTGGGACATACCAGCTGCAGAAAGCGGTGAGATAAGATGCGGCTCAACCTGTTGGAGAGCGCAGGAGTACATTCCAACAGTGAGCAGCGCAATTCCAATTTATTCAAGTCCTTTGGTAATCTAAAAACTTTTGCGAGTTTTTTCTCTAGCTTATTATTGATTAGAGTGAAAAGTGGAACAAATAAAAACAATAGCGAGAAGAAAATTACAAAGCCATAATACAAAACCAGAAAATAATTGTACAAAATGTTACATGCGCCATTATTATCAATAAAAAAAATTAAAAAAAACAAATTAAGAGAAAAATTAACGACTTTGGATTCTAGAAGTGTTGGGAAATTTGAGTCCTTAAGTGTTTGTGTTTTATCATAATTTTTTCACATGTTGCAATTTATTTGGATTTTATTTGACATACCAACCCAAGTTAGTTGGGAGGAAAATGTTACACAGTCTAAATTAATTTCTAGCAAAATACAAACATGAAAAATGAAGTGTTCATTTGTACTTGACCCCTGTTGCCCTGATGCTCCTAGATAAAATGTATTGGAAAATGCCCGGAGAGCTGCTGAAACGAAAACCACTGTTTAAAGAAGCCATGTAGGAACATGAGGAAGAAGGTGTCCAGGAGACGTGTCACTATTTTGTGCAAATGGAAAATTGGGCAAAAAATTCCACAGGACCCTGAACACACCATAAGCAGTGCAACCTAAAACAGCTATGCAAAAAAGAATATCTCCATGAAGTACTGAACTGAATAGTGATTAATCATGCCATACGGCGTAGTTACACGCACATCTCTGCTGTATGTCATTCATGCTGCAGGAAGGCGGAGAGGACGCCGCGCCCAGCCGGACTGGCCGCCTCTACCTTTTTCAGTTTCGCCGTGAGGGTCCGATGAGCCCTCCTCTCACTGAGCTGCAGCGCCTGGATACAGCAGCCATTTTGGATCTGAAATGGTGAGAAGTCGGGCTTCACTAGCACGGATGTAGTCGTGATCATTTCCTTTCTGTTCAATGTTTTCCCTCATGGCCAGGTGCCACGTCCCTGTGTCAGGCAGGCCGCTGCTGGGAATGGTTGCTGCTACAGGAGAGCTGCACCTCTACACTCTGCTGGATAATCAGGTGAGAACTGCAGCTTCAGAAGAATCCCAGTGATGTCTTCTGATAACAGCAACCTTAAATTAAGCAATGACATGACTGTGCCTCAGTAATGGTCTGGAGTTATCATGTGTCCTGTTTCTTATTTTAGAATGTTTTGTTTCCGTCAGCATGTGTTTCACAGCGGGTGTTGTGGTGTTTACTCATGAATGTGTGTATCCAGTAGGAAGGTGGGTGCAGTCTGCAGACTATGTGCAGCTTGGAGGTTGGAGCAGAGCGCCTGGCTTTGTCTTTGGACTGGTCCACTGGTAGAATGGACAGGTACTGTAAGCTATGTGAGCTCCTGCTGCTATTTTCCTTAAGTAAAATTTCCAGTGGTGGATAATCAGAGGCCATATGAAGCAGACCCTTCCGTTCCCAGCAGCAGTGACATCCGGGTGGCGTGCAGTGATTCTGCGGGTTGCGTCGGTGTGTTCTCCCTGTCTGAAGGAGCTCTGATGGCTCTGTCCCAATGGAAAGCTCATGATTTTGAGGCCTGGATCACAGCCTTCTCCTACTGGAACACACAGCTGCTTTATTCTGGTAACACAACTGCTTCCCATCATTTTATAGTTCCTGCAAATATTGACGTGATTGATCAGTTAGTTTCAGAACATAGCCCAAAATAAAATCATCTGGTCTAGGATTTGGCAGGTTTTAAAGGGGAGATATTATGTAAAAGCAACTCCCTTGAGCTTTTCATTATGTTATAATGTTATTCCCTCATCAGAAACACACCTGGAGTGTTGACTTGATTCTTTCTTGCATGCTTGAGAAATCCTTTAATCACCATGGCAACCATTTGCAGGAAAGAGCAGGATTTTTTAGAGAGAGGGACCCAATTTTCAGGCGTCAAATTACCGAGTCAAATTTCTTTTAAGTCACATAAGTTGTATGCAGCATTTTTATAGCAATGGGAGGTAAAATAGTTGATTGTGCTATATAATGACCCTATGTTGCTGGAAAACAATTGAAGAAGACTCAACCTCACACAAACACATTCAATTATGCACTATTTAAAGTTCAATGCAATTCACGTTGATCCATGTAACGGCTGCTGTTACTGACAGCATCAGCAAAGACGACCCTTTGTTTACAGAGTTTCTTTGAAAAACATTTACACTTCTTGTAATTTTTCATATCTTGTTACGTGACGACCACAAATTCAGCGGCTTTTATGTGACAAACGCATAGTAGCGCTAAGAACTTGGAAAGGTGTGGCTGTTTTCTTTGTAATCTGAATAGATCAGAAAGCTGCAGTGAGCCTTTGTGTTACATCTTACATCTGTATGTAAATGCAGCCTTATAACACTTGTAATATATTAGTCAAATGTTATTGCACTCCAAACAGACCTTTACAGTTTGAATGTTTTGCAGACTGATATTGTGATGACACATTTGCACTACACTGAGCAGCCTTAGTGTTCATGTTGGAACCTTCTTCCCAGGGGGGGACGACTGCAAACTGAAAGGCTGGGATCTCAGAGCTGCTCCTTCTAGCCCTGCTTTCACCAGTAAAAGGTAGAGAAAGAGATTTATGTGTGTGTTTGTGTGTGTCACTGCTGATGTCCTTCCTGCCAAACCTTGCCGGTAAATTCTGAGCTTTTCTGCTTCAGGCACTCAATGGGTGTGTGCAGTATTCACAGCAACCCTCATCTGGAGCACATCCTGGCCACAGGCAGGTCAGTATCCTCATCTTTAATGAAGGAAAATAAAGGAATATCCTCCTGCTGGGTGTTGTGTTGTATTCGGTCGTCGTGTTATCGTGCTCCAATCTTGTCCTTCGGCAGCTACGATGAGCAGGTGTTGCTGTGGGATGGCAGGAACATGCGGCAGCCCCTCGGGCAGAGCGCGGTGGGAGGCGGGGTGTGGAGGCTGAAGTGGCATCCCAGCCATCAGTACCTTCTGCTGGCTGCCTGCATGCATAATGACTTCCACATCCTCCACTGCCAGCAGGCCTTAGGTTGGTATGATCAGAGAGACGAGGAAAAGCTGCTCCCAGTTCTTAATTACTGTTTCTAACTCAATTTTACAGAGGGATGATATTTTTCTGACTTACTAGGCATAGAAACATGGCTGCTCACCAATAATGTTTGATTTATTTTGACTCAATTCATTCAGTTAATTGATGCAGATTCCAAAGTTAAAATATATCACTGTTGAGCTTTAAAAGTCAATTTTTATCAGGAGACTGGTGCACCAGTTTTTAAATAATATTGGTTAAAGAAACTGTCCAAGAAACTTCAGTATTCAACTAAAAAAAACAGAACTGAAGGATTTTTTTTTCTTTTTGAGTCTATAAACATTTATTTTTGGTCTAAGAAATGGCAAAACTGTGATTGCTAATTCCATTTAAAACAGTAATTTTCTTTCATATTCCACCATAAGCATGTGTTTCACAGCTGGTGTTGTGCTGTTTATTCATGAATGTGTGTATCCAGTAGGAAGGTGGGCAGAGTCTCACATTAGAGCATATCTCTCTAAAAATGTGTAGGAAGCATCACCTGTCGACTAGATCCGTACCATTCTAACCAGGCAGCTCTACTTTATTTCAAACTTATTAGATTCACTCCAGGTGTAAATATGAGAACTCAATGCTGAAGCTAAATTGGAAGGTGGAAGGATTAGTCTTTACTAAATAGTTTTTCACTTGTATTATTCAGTATAACTGTCCTGTGTGGATCAAAGTTGAAAACGGACTGCTGATGGTTTTTTTATCTGTATGCGTGTTTGCTCAGAGGGCAGCGGGGGAGCCTGTCCTGTCGTTGCTTCCTACATCCTCCACAACTCCCTGGCCTATGGAGCCGACTGGTCCAGGGTGTCCCTGGAGGACCCCGCGCCGCACTCCCCTCCTGCCACAGAACCAAAGGAAAGCCTCGCTCAGAGCAGAGGACACTTGCGCATTCAGTACGAGTCTCCAACTGCCAGCTTCGACACGTCCCTGGAGGATGACGCAGGTCGGTACATCCCAGAGGCGAGTGGACCGCCCCCCCGAAGTCCAGCTCCGGTGCCGGCCCCCAGCCTGGGTCAGGACGCTCCGTCGCTGTCCTGTCTGCTAGCTAGCTGCTCATTCTACGACCACATGCTGCATGTGTGGCGCTGGGACTGGACTCCAGAAACGTCCCAACAGGAGTCCCACTAACAGTGACTGAGCTGCAGCCACGCATCCCATAAACAGCCTGAACTGAGTGAGATGCAACAAACACATGGACCACTCTCCTACAAAACATGAGAGATTGACTTAGCAGAAATGTCTATTTTGATTATGACACTTTTTTTATAATAAACACCTCCCATGTCTGTAGTGAACATGTCTGTAGCAGCAGCAGTGAGACGGCCCTTCATCCTGTTACCTACGGCAGAGGATGTGATGCTTGGTGTTTTAGAAACATCTGGTGACCTCTGGCAGAAAACTGACCCAAACCAACACAGAAGTGGTTCATCAGGTACAAACTTAACCCTGTTCTGTATCTATTGTTGTCACATGATATAAACAAGGGGTCTCGAAACTTTGTCATGTGAGCCAAAATAATCAAGTCAAAAGGACTTGTGGGCCAAGAAAATAAGAAAAAAAATAAACTCTTAACAAAAAGTTGATTTTAGTTTTTTTTTTCTTTTTTGCCTAAACTAAATGTGCAAAATTTTAATTGTCAATTTTTAATTTATTTTGGTCTTTTTTTTTTTAGGAAAGCAAGGTTATTCTATGCACAAATAAAATTTTAAAAGGATTTTGCATACAAGAGGCTCGATTGAACAAATTTGTCAGTCAAAAGAACAGGATTTAGGTCACTTTCTTTCAAAATGTTTACTACATTAATCCAAGTTTAGTGACTTAAATAAAAGCTGATTTTATTTAATTGGCTTTTCAGTTAAAGTCTCTTGATGCATTTGGTTCTGCTTAGTATAAAAAAGTAATTTCTGTCCACTGTAAGAAGATGGTCAGTAATCATTTCACCCAGATTACAAATAAAATCTAAATCTCAATCAACCACCTGTGATGGAGGGCCAACTTTGCATCATTCTTGAATTGCAGCTGGGGGGGCCACACAATGGCCCACAGGCCACACTTTGTATAACCTTGACCTAAACTGTATGAAAAGCCTGGTGAATCAGCTTTTTGCCCTTTTTTCTAAAAAGGACAGAAATGCTAAATGTTGATGGCATGTAGCTTAACACCAATTCATTAGAAAATGTTCAGTATTTGAGAGAGGATTTTAGAATCAAACTTGAAAACGTTCTACACTTTCTGTGGCTTTTCTGACACTTTGAGTGACAATTCATCAGTGAAAAGCAACTCGTTCATTTGATCCCTATTTATTTATGTTGCAGTGGAAACAGCAGCTTTTTAGGTTGGGGTTCTTTAACTTCTAAAAGATTTACAAAGTTAAAAATGACAACGCCAATTTACCTTCAGATTTGGATAACTAAACCCTGACATAAATGACATTCTGCTATAAATCATGTGTAGAGCAACTCGGATTTTATTTCCAGATTGAACACTTAATGACAAGTTTGCAGTCCCATCTGTGATGATGACTCTGATGGTCTCCCATCCACTTATTAACGCACATAGTTCTTAGGATACAGCTTAAACAGCTTCCCTTCCTGTGTGGGTTCAAATCCATATTTCTCCAGGTTATCCTTGTTGAATGTGCCATTCCTAAAGTCTCTGGTGATCTGTGGGGCTACGACCTGATCGAATAAACTCTGTGCTGTCAGCGGAGGTTCCGTACCGAGTGGTGACCGGTACGAGACGTAGGGTTTTAGCTTGAATCCCTCCAGATGAGGAACCACGAACTCGGGAATCATGGCCCGGACCGACAGAAACTTCCTGCTGGGGAGCTTCACCCCTGCGGGGCGGGAGCTGCGGCCTTTGTTGAGGGACCTGGGGCCGCGCTTACTGGTGAATTCAGACATCCTGTCCGCACCTCGAACCAGGCCCCTCATGAGTGTGGATAGAACCCCCATGGTTCCCGTCGGGTCTTCCTCCAGGAACATGAAGACACATGCAGAGGGCAGCTGTTAGCTTTAGCATTAGCCATTAGTAGCAAAACAACATAAAGACAGCTACTTTAATGTGTCTGAGCTCAGCACGGCTATAATTAGCTCTGCACTATACGCACTTTTCACTCTGAAAATCCGAAACTGACTCATTTACACTCACTATTAAACAAAATTATTCTCACCTTCAGGGTCCCGCTGAGAGGAAACAAGTGCGTACTATGACCCAATGAAGTGCGCAGTGATTGGGCAATAAAAAAATACTTGTTGACCAATTAAAATACAAGATACTGACAGAAACTGTTAGCAATTGGAGGGAACACAATTACAACTAGAAAACAGAAGCGCCTCTACTTCCGGAAGCTCTATGACTTGTTCTTCAAAATAAATGCCTTTATGAAATATAGTGTGAGGAACAGCTACTGAGCAAAGGGAATTACTGCTCAAATGGGATGTAAATGATGATGAAGAAGAATATATATTTTTATTTATGAAAAATTTGAGAGCATCCAAGTTCAGGTGCAGGGGTTAGCTCTGTCCTTTTTACCAAATACGGTTTTATTTTGAAATATTGGCAGGAAGTTGTACACCGTCACAAGGTAGGATTAAGTATAAGGCATGTATACAAAAAACTTTGAGCCTTAAAGTAGGTACGTATGAAGATTGTTTACGCTGTTTCAGAAACAAACTTTTTAGTAAATGTAGAAGATTCCTCCAGCATTTTTTCAGTGCATTATTTTCTTTCTTTTTAGCGTTTATTTTCTTGTTTTATTCCTGACTCGACGGCTTGTGATGTAGTAAACACTGCTTTAACACTGTGTATAAACTCCCAAGTTTTAACATTAATCAACAAGTCATAGACATGTAGTTTTCCTCACTAAACGTGAGTTAACTCGGTGAAATAACTGACGAGCTTCACTTAATGTGACTTTGACATCCAGCTACATGACACCGAGCTGCTTGAAATATTGCTTAAATATTAAATCCTGTTGTTTAAGCTTCTCTCTTCGTTGGTTCCAGTGTATTTAAAGGTCACTTCTCACTTTGAAGTCGGCTAAAGACACATAACTTGAGCAGAAATGACTGGCTTTACAGTAAATGAGAGGAAAAGAAACAAGTCAAAAACAAGCATATTAAATTCTCTAATTAATAAGGAGCTTTAATCTATTTATCCCACTGAGCTTTGGAGCCTTTATCCGGACGTGTCCAGTTCGGAGTGAGCCTGAGAAATGGAGGTGATCTTTAACCCAGATCTTTCCGAGCATTTGCTCTGTGATCTCTGTCCTGGCGCCCAGGGCAGATCAGCTTACTGGCAAAATGACTTCAGTGAAGCACACAGGGAGAGCATGTTTCTATGTAATTGATTCTCGGATGATAAAATGCTTAGGATTTAAATGTCATTTTCCACTGAGAGATATTTTTATTGGCCTGTAATCTTTTTTAATTCACCAGGCAGGCATGGACAACCAGGATGAGGAGGAAAGCTGTGTCTACCCGGTACGTAAATACTCGGTGTCAGGATTATTTAGGCTCATATTGGTACCACTCAGCTGCCTCTGGTGGTACCCAGAGAAGATCGTAATATGATAATGAATGATCTGTAATCAGTGGCTGATTTTGATATGAAGGATATGGCACACTGCTCAGGGGTGCAGGGCCTTGGGGGCGTCCTGAACCTTGACTTTTTTTTTTTTTTTTTTAGCAAAGGTTATCTGACAGTTGTTTACAGAAGCGTTTAACTCCCACAGCTAGGAAATAAACACAAGAGTGTTATCATTATTAAAATGGAAAGTTTTATATCTCGATACTGAGAAACATTCCTGTTAACAAGGTTTATATCTGGCTGTAATGTGAAACCATCTTGTTATGATTATCTTGCTCCTGTATTTATTTCCTTGCTTTAACAATTAAATGCTTCCATAGTTGTGTCCACAACAACTGTTCATAGCTGTTTGGTGTGCAGAGTCAGTGGTGAGTGGGTGATCCCAGTGTTGGGCACAACACAAGTCCTGTAAGAAAATAAGGCTGAATATAACAGGTGAGACTGCTTAGATTGGTCAGACCTGAATTAAATTATTCTACACCAGGCATCCTTTGAAATACAGGTTAGAATTTATAAAACCATTAATCTGATGTGGAAATGGTAAAAGAGTCGTTTCTAATGTTCTTCTGACATCACAACCACCTTACTAGGATCCATCCAGTGTGCTGTTCATGTAACTGATCACAATTTAAACTGATAAGGGAAAAATACAGATTACAAAGCTGTGCTGAACCAAAACGAACAAGTAACGACAAGCTTTCTAGAAATGTGGTGACGAAGAAAGTCATAAATTTTCAACAAAATAAATACTCAAGTAAAGTAAAGGTGCTCAAAAAATGTACTCAAGTACAGACCTTCCTGAAGGTACTCCACTGAATGGAGTTTGTTGGTTTATAAATTGAGTTGTAATACTCCTTTAGTTCTGTCAGACTCAGCCCGTCTCGGCTCCAGTTTGTTTCATCTGCTGGGTTTGTTTCTGTGCTGAATCTTTTAGAACCTGGGTCCACTCACCAGTGAGATCAGAGCCAAAATGGAGCAGTTTGTGGAGGAACGGACTGAAGCCAGTTTGGTGAGCACTGAGACCTACATCTTAATATTTTGACAATATGTTTTGCGGCCTTCCTTTTAAATTGAAATATTTCACATTCTGCAGTTTGCTGGGAATACCCTACAGGATGTACTGTATGTTTAGAGTCTGGTACCAGAAGCAGTTCTGGTTCTGGTGAACTGGCTTGAACTGCTTGAACTTTCTGTCTCTATCGTGTTTTTCTTCCAGTGGATTTTTGTTCTGGTTGGAGCTGTGATCACCGTCTCTGTTCTGGGAGTTGTTGTGCTGTTTGTCTGCAGAAGATACAAAAAATCAAGTTGGTGTCTTATTGTTAACTGTTTACAAGTTCACATTATATCTCTACTGCGCTGCATGTTAGCTCTTTCACATGGTAAATGGACAGAGTTGATGTGTATTAGTACTGACCTATCAAAGCATTCGACACAACAGCCCCGTTCTCCCAGTCGCTCTCACACACACATACATTCACACACTGATATCATGATTGCTAGACAACTTGCATTGGGACACCTTGAACTACATGACCCTGTTTGCTGGTCTGACTGAGAGCATGTGCTGTTTCAGAGGAGGAGGCCGGCGTTCCTCACTACCGCTTCAGAAAGAGGGACAAGGTGATGTTCTATGGCAGGAAGATCATGAGAAAGGTCAGTACGGTCTAAAACAGGCAAGAAGTCTCCTGGGTTTGATCATTATGCTCTTCCTTCCAGTAAAATGTGTGAATATTGTGTTTTACAAGACTTTGTGTTGTTGCTAAAATTTAGTGGACACCAGATGTTTCGCCATCAGTGGTCCAGACTCTTCTCTCATCTTACATTTCAGACTTCATGGATTGTTCTCTGGTTACAATTTCACAAACAAGCTGATGTAGCTGAGTGCTATTGATGACTCTCAGTTCCTGATAGATAAGGTCACATCACCTCCACTGCAATCAGGTGATGCTCAGTAGGTTCAATCCACTGATTGAGATAAGGCTGCACCGGTTGCAGTTTCTGGTCAATCCCTGATTACCAATCTTTAAGAAGCCTGGCCTGCCGATTCAGATTTCAGCCAATTCCATTTTTTTGTCTGAAATGTTGCTAAATATTTGAGACAAAATGAAATATTGTCTGAAAGCCAGAGAGTTGTTGAGTTGTTAACAGTGGGGTGACAATTGCTAACTCTGCAATTGTACAGACATGACCTGGTTTGTAAGTCAAACTTCTGTCAAACCAGAGCAGAAGAGGACGGACAGTGGCTGATTTTTAAATCTTTGCAAAGATAAGATCGGTGGCAAAGATCAGCTTCACATGCCAGTATTAGCTGATCACTGATCTCCCAAAATTAAGGAAATCAAGACCAATTTTCTGGCCGATTTATCACCAATATCAGTGTACCCCAGACTGTGGTCTTCTGGAAGGATCTTGGAACATGGTCCTGCAAATTCAGAGATAGTTATAACCCAAAAGTCTTGGTAGTGTTGCTGTTTTTTTCTGGCTTTTTGATGTTTTTTTTACTACCAGTGAATACATATGTCGTTTCAACTCAAAACATGTCACACATTTCAGGACCAAATGACTTGATTCATGACATAGGTCTATATTTATTGATTTTTTTCTTACTAATCTCTACCATTTCCGCTGTAATGATTAATATAGACCTATGGGAAGAATTGTCCATTCTTTCCGTCTTTTTTTCTGGCCCAACAGCAGACACTTTCATAAGCACATCTGTCTGTCCTGTTACATCCTGCAGAACATCAGCACCTCCTTTCAGTTTTTCTCTTTTGACCAAATCTCTCCACATCGCTGAGTGGACAGATGTTCACAGGTGGCGGGACACAGCCATCAGCGTGAGAGCATCATGGCTCTTTCTCGACTGTCCTGAAGCTTATTTATCTTGTCCCACATTCTCATCCTTAAGTTTTGCTTTGCACGGTTCCTGTTTTGGTCTGGATGTGAACCTTTGCTTGCCATGTAAATCACTGTGTTTCATTTCTCTGCTGTAGGTTCAGACATTGTCCACAACTCCTGCAAACAATTCAAACTCAGCTTCACGGCAGAGAGTAAGGAAGAGGACCAAAGTCCTGTCCATAGCTCGAAAGTGAGAGCTTTTTCTGGTTGATATTTTTATTGATATGTTTGCATACAGAACAAATGTGTTTACATACAACACAATGTGGATTGTGTGAATTGTATACACCATTAACTTCAAGATGTATGATTTCAGGAACAAAGGACACGTGCTAAACACCTCTAAAAATAGATATAATAATAATAATAATAATAATAAAAGGAAATAAATATATACTAAAATAAACGCCAAAGTAAGTGAAGGAAAAAACACATAAATAAAAAAACAAAAGGCCAGGGGAATTTGCATTAATGCAAAAAAAAAAAGAAAAAAAACATAAATGGTTGCCTTTTAGTGTGTACTTTGTTGAAATTTCGCATAGCTTATTTTCTCCACTTTTAAAACGAACATGACCTCATTGTCCACTTTGGTCTAGATGGAGATAGAAATGCAACTTTTAGAATAACTTTGCATTAAAAGTGTCATTATTTACTTCATGACAACAGTCATAGACATTCATAAAGATTCCTTCATGTTCATGACAGGTATTATGTCAGCCTTATGCACACCCTGTCAAATAAAGTGTTATCAAAAGATAAGCCAAGAAAACAATTGTATCAGAGCAGAAGGAGCTCAGTG